GTCCGGCTATACCACAAAACAGTGCTGACAACCACCCACATATCCAGCAAGTGCTTTGGGGTGCTTCGCAGGGGCAGAACCACATCTAAGCCACCGTGTGAAAGGAGTCACAAAATAATTTGTATTCTCATACACCACTGATAATAAATAGACAAATTAGCATATAAATGTAGCACCCTCCTGGGTAGGAGCTAGGTTAAGTAAATTTAGTTCTGGGCTCACTGTAATCAGTGTAGCGGTGTGTGATTATTTAGGTCTGTTCTGTGTTTCACAGGCTGCAGGTTTGACTGCTCCTTCTGCACTCTAGAACTTTCTGGGTTGTTCTGGGACATAGATGTGGAGCAAGTCAAATGGGCAGCATGAATATTTATACTGTCTCAGCCAATCCCTGTGGGAGACTGCACAGATTGTTGCTGGGAAGAGTTATAAATAGTCTGAGACCAGATGGGTCCTGTCCCTGAAGAGGAGATCACAGCCTGGGGGAATGGGGGCTGTTTGCCCCCTAGGCAAGAATGCCATGTGTCTGCTGTTCATCGAGGTACAAGCTGGGCTAACTGGAGATACCTGCTCCACTAAAAGTTGCCGGAGCTGACTGAGGATTTTCATCTGAGGATCTAGTCTGCTATCACTGGGGGAAAGTGTCAAAAAGATATTGGCACAAGGCAACCAATTATCCAAGGACATTGGTGAGTACAGACTGGTGTGAGAGATCCTAGGGACTGTGTGCTGTTACCACTCCTCTGGTGCTATAGACAGATAGTCAGTGTTCAAAAAGGTGTTTCTGGTGTCCTTAAGAGCTCAGTCTATTTAACCACTTGCCCTCCAGAGGATTTACCCCCCCCCCCCCTTCCTGACCAGGCCATTTTTTGTGATACGGTGCTGCATTATTTTAACTGACAATTACGCAGTCATACAACGTTGTACATAAATGAAATTTATGTCTTTTTTCCCCACAAATAGAGCTTTCTTTTGGTGGTATTTGATCACTTCTGCATTTGTTTATTTTTTTTTATATTTTGCGCTATAAAAAAAAAAAAAACCCTAATTAAAAAAAAATCAATATTTTTTACCTTTTGCTATAAAATATATCCAATAAAAAAAAATTAGAAAAATCAAATTTCGTCATTAATTTAGGCCAAAATGTATTATGCTACGTCTTGGGCGATCAAAGGATTAGCTGTGTATGTTTTACTATGTGTGCTGTTTTACTATGGAGACATGCTGCTTTGTATTTCTCTGCTGTGCAGAGAGAGCACGTCCTTCCTGGAAGGAGAGAGACCTGTGTTGTTAACACAGAGGTCTCTCCCGTCAGCTTTCCCCGATGATCACTGTGTGCCAGTGGGGAATCTCTGCCCGGGACTCGTTGATTGACATCCCTGGCTGCCAATGGTGGCGCGCGTGCCCCCCCCCACCCCACCCCACCCAGAAATGCAAATCACGTATATATATATATATGATTTTTCTCAGCCCTGTAGCAGTACTTCTGGCAGCCAAGCGAATAATTCTTAGTGAAAGGACTCTTCTCAGATTTCGAAGAGAAAGTTTGCTGCCTTAAGTTTTGCTACTAGAAAGCTCAGTCCACCATTTACATGTGCAAGAACATGGCTTATAGTTCTAAAGAAGAAAGTTTAGTGTCCTCAGACTGCTACTAAAAGTTACTGGAGCATCCCACAGTTACCCTACGCAAGTTCAAATTCTACAAGCATCAGAAAAACATACCCCCTAGAGTGTTAACTGAGCCAAAGGAGTGACTGTGGGGTTTATTTACTAAAACCAGAGTGTTAAATCTGGTACAGCTCTGCATAGAAACCAATCAGCTTCAGTTTTTTTTATTGTCAAAGCTTAGTTGAACAAGCTGAAGATAGAAGCTTATTGGTTACCATGCACAGCTGCACCAGATTTTGCACTCTCCAGTTTTAGTAAATCAACCCCAGTGTGCCTGGCTGCATGGCAACTATGGGAAAAGGCCTAAGGGACCTTTAATACAGCAGACTCCTACAGGAGTACTGCTACACAAGAAATAACAAATGGTACTGTGCATACTGTAGGTAGAAAATTCAAAAGTACTACATTGTGAATGTATTCTTACTACTATACCACCAGAGGGCAATGTCGCTCTCTTAATACACATAACAGAAACCATGTACTTTTTGAATATTCTGGAGTTATCTTGGATAAGGATTTCAGTACATGGCCAGATTCTTAAATTGGCTTTAACTGACCCATGACTGATTGTGGTATTGTAATAAATGATAGATTTAGACACCTTGCAATTCAGGTCACAAAAGTTTGTGATAATGTCAGCTGATGACAGACGTTCATGATTAGTCTTGATTTGCCCTTTATTTATTTAAGGGAATTGTCACTGCGGACACACTTCTATAAAATAGCATACGTAGCTTCGACTCAGTTCTGAAATCAATTAGCACAGTATACGCTAGCATCAAAATTGTGGACAGTTCTGAAAAATGTAGGATTTGTATATATTTGAGTGATTTCCAGCTTCCATGGGGATTGACCAGGTAAAGCACATACATATTTAGGCCCCTTTCACACAGGTGTTCTGTATGTCCATTTACGCATGAAAAACGGATGCCCATGTATTTCTATGGACTAGTGGATGTAAACTGATGATCATCTGTTTACATCCGTTAATGTCCGCATCTGGTAACATCTGCTTTTTCTGAGCGGAAGAAAACCCTATTTTTCTTCTGTTACAAAAACTGGAACGGATGAAAAATGGAAGTAAACGGACAAAAAACAGATCTAAACGGACAAAAAAACAGACAAAAAAAAACGGATGTAAACTGATGAAAAACAGATGTAAATTGATGAAAAAACTGATGTGAACTGATGAAAAACTGATGTGAACTGATCCGTTTTTTCTTGGAAAAAATGTGACTGAACTGATGAAAAAAAAAAAAAACGGAATGCCCACGTGAAAGGAGCTTTACATTACACGTCTCTCTATGTTTTACCTCTTTGAAGACCCTGCAAGTACAGGAAAATACATGTTTATCAGTCAAAGTACACTCAGCTCCTAATAGCTGTTGTGGAATGACACAACGTGCCTGTTTGGGAACTGAAATTGCAAGAATTGGTGTCAGCTCTGCCAAGTTGCCTGTTGTTAAACTACTGAACCCCACCCATCTCCTCATCTCCACAGCATGAGTAAATGTTCTGCAGTGCAAAATAAAAACTGGAATGAATCCCTAGGATAACACAGAACAGCTCTACATTTCTGACATGATCAATTGTTTTATTTAATGTACAGATATAACAAAATGCTGTAAATGGCATATTTAACATACTAAAAGGGGATCAAATAAGAGGAGTTTATCCGTAGGTTTCATACCCAAAGGGCAATTTTACACCTATATGTTGTAGCAACATGCATAGTAACACGCTTAGCAATATATGTTATATGCATTGATGCATTGCTGTGCCATCCATTGTAAGTAGATCCCCAACTCACTAAGGCATCACATAAGCATTGCAACATTCTGCAAGGCACCATAGTGATTTGCGGCACAAATTTGGTGATGTCTGAGAATTAGGATGTGTTTTTGCATTGGAAGCCCACTGATTTCAATAGGCCATTTTAAAGTGACTGTAAAGGTTTTATTTTTTTTTAAATAACAAAGATGTCATATTTACCTACAAAACCATTGCACAGAGCAGCCCGCTGCTGCTACAGGCAAGAAACCTTCTGCCTTTACAACCAATTTAATTAAATTCATGTAACACATGGCATAACACATGCTAATGAACATGCATTAGCACACCACACAATTGTAATTGTACCCAAATAAAGTGGGATCAAGTGCCCTGTTTCCATAGGAAAACAGAGGTAAATCACTGCTAAAAATACTTATTTGGGATTCGACAAAATAGAAGCTTTAAAGCAATTAGGTTTTAAAATGTAGCACTGCCTATAATACACCTAAAATTACTAAAATATTTTCTATTGAAACAAAATGGAAAATACGGATGCTGGGTGAATGAAAACACACTGGCTTGACCAGTCAAATGCAACACATTTTACAAAAGTATAAAAGTGGTGAATGATCTGCAAATTATTTATTTGCTACTCTATGAACAGTATCTCCTCACCCCTTATGGGGGCTATATATGGAACACTGACTGCTACAATCCCTATGATCAAATGGGCTCAATGACACGTCTATCCCTTCCAATGGGGATTTCCCCAGCAGTGATTAAGTACATCCCCAAAATAGCAAATATTTATCATTCACCCCATGAAGGCAAGCATGTGGTGGTGGACTTGTGAAACAAACCTCACAAATTCACCCCAAAAGGGGGATAACATTTACTCTGAATCAGAAAAACTACAGATGTGAGCCTCACCAGTTGGGGGCAAACTGCCAAGGATGGAGGAGACGTAGTCGATGAAATTTTGACGCTTCTCAGTTGGCATTTTTGCTTTGTGGCGCTCAGATACAGTGTAGTTTCACTTTAATAAAACTTCAGTACATTATGGCCTTTCCCTTTCTAAAACCTTAACCTCCCTGGCGGTATGATTATTTCAGATTTTTGGTGCTGAAAGCGGTACCATTTTTTTGCATGGAAATATGTATTTTTTTAATTGTAGGCTGTAATTTTTAGGAAAAACTCACTGAAATCTGTCCGAACAAGAGTCTAGTAAACATCCCGGGTATGATAAAATTTGAAACACAAAATCATAAATTATAATTTAATAAATAATCATAAAAATAATATAAAAATAATAAAAAATTTAATTCAATAATATAATCAAACCAAAAAACACTGAAATGTGAAATAGAGCGCCAAGTTTGCACATTGCTGAGCTCAGTCGCAAAATCGTTTTCAGTGTCTGATGACGAATTTCCCCCACGAATCATTATCACTCAATTCTGCAAGTGGTTCTGATTTACTATCGCTGTTCTCTAGCTGATCTAAACCGCTTTTGACCTAAAGGGACACTTTTTGGACGCCATGGACGTTTCTCAGTTTCCAGGCAGAAAGAACAGACAAAATGCAGGCAGGGCGCAGGACAAAGCACTAGGGACAATATGTATGTGAAATTGGTTGAGACAGCAATGTTTTTTACTAGGTAAAATGTAAAAAAAAAAAAAAAATGACATTTTTTAAAATTTTTTAAATTTCCCGCCGCCGGCGGCTGCGGCGCCCGTACGTCCCGACGTCACAGGGACAGGACACAGAAGCCGGATGCCGGCATCGGCCGGAGGAGATGGCCGGGGGACGCTGCAGGGGACACATCGTGGGAGCGCAGGGTAAGGTAAGTGAAGAACACATGCCGGAGCAGTGCCTCAGGGTAAGCCCGAGTGTAGCTCGGGGTTACCGCTTTTGGTACTGAAATGTTACCCCGAGCTACACTCGGGAATACCGCCAGGGAGGTTAACTAAGGCTTTGGCTGCCCCAGCATACCTGCATAGGAAGAGTTCACACATGACAAAGTCTATGATGCTGGTATCTTCAGGACATACTGAAGGTCCCAGCTGTCCCCCTACATGGTGGTAGTTGCAGTGTTCAACAGGTTTTCTGGAGAGAGAGCCCCCTGGCAGAAACAGCTCTCTGTAAGCAGCTGGAGATTACATCTTGGAGGCCTGCGTGTGTCCACTTCCCATTCAGCAAACTGAGCCTGGGCAGAGCCCTGTCTCCTTTTATTTACAGCACAGGGAGTGAGGTAGAGCTCAGAAAAAGTGAGGAAACTGCATTAGCCCAGCCCTTCCCTTCCAACAGCATCCAGTCGTCTCACTAACCTAGCATTTCAACCTGCTTACAGACATCCTTGTGCAGAATTGGGCCAAACAGAGATGAACTTCCCAGAACACCAAGGTGACCAAGTTCATATCAAGGTTTTCCAGTGTTCAGGCAGTAGCAATAGTAAACACAGAAGCTCTGAGCTCTAAGTGCCTCCAGGTTCAGAACAGTCAAACAACATGTGCTCTGGCTGGAGTAGAGGCTTACAGAACACTGTATGGGCTCGACCAGCTTCAAGAGTATAGAGATGAGATTAAATGTTATTAAAACAAATTTAAAAATGTAAAAGCCCTCTGCCCCCACAGACATGCACAAATGCTGGGTGCTCACACATACAAATGCCAGTTGTGCCATTCATATTAGGAATGTGGGTGGAAGCAATAATTCTAGGGCCATCATTCACTGTTAACTTTAATTTTATAGCATGTAAAGGCTTTTTAAAAGTGACTCTAAAGGTTGTAATAAAAAAAAACAAGCAAAAAATAAAACAAACATGTTATACTTACCTGATCTGTGCAATGGTTTTGCACAGAGCAACTTAAAATCTTTTTTTGGTGGGGGGGAACTGCCAGTGGTCCTGGCTCCCCCCCTCAATGAGTGCCCCCAATAGCAAGCCTCTTACTATGGGGGAACTTGAGCTGACTTACACCCAAGATGGACTTCTGTGAATGGACACTGTCCATTCAAACAGAGTACGGCGCAGCCCCATGCTCTTTCCTCATTGGCTGCTATGTGAGCCAATGCAGAGAGAGACCCAAGAGGCCGTGGCTCTCATGCACATCGCTTGATAGAGATGGGGTTCAGGTAAGTAAGATGGGGGGCTGAGGGGGGAGCTGCACCCATGTTTTTTTTTTACCATAAAGCGATTCTAATAGATTTCGTTTTTTTGGAAAATAACAAACATGTTATACGTACCTAATATGTGCAGTGGTTTTGCACAGAGCAGCCTGGATCCTCCTCTTCTCGGGTTCCTTCCCGGCGCTCCTGTCAGGTGACCCCACAGCAAGCAGCTTGCTATGGGGGCACCTGAGCATGAGTGTTCCCAAGCCACTGCTCCATGTGTCCATTCACACACGGAGTCGCGGCTTGGCCTTACCCCCTCTCTCTCCTCATTGGCTGACTGGCTGTGATTGCCAGAAGTGGGAGCCAATGGCTTCCACTTGCTGTCTCAGCCAATAAGAAGGAAGAAAGCCCGGGACAGTTGAGACTGTTGTGCACATCGATGGATCGCGATGAAGCTCGGGTATTAGGGGGGAGGCACTGCTGCACACAGGTTTTTTTTACCTTCAAGCATAGAATGTATGAAGGTAAAAAAAAACTTGAGCCTTTACAATCACTTTATATATTCAGAAAAAAACAAACATTCTGCCTTTAGAACCACTTTAGGCCCTGGTTCACACCTGTGTGACTTGACATGCAATTTGAGTTTCAAATTGCACCCTACTGTTGGCAATGGAACTGTTCAAATCGGTGCAACTTGGTCCCTGTTGGAGTTGCACCAATTTTGAAAGTATTTCCTGCAATATTTTTTGCAATGTTTCGCATAGGGCAGTCCATTAACTTCAATGAGCTGTCCTATGCATGCTTGTCCACAAAAGGAAGCCCCTGCTCCTTTTTAGGTGACAAGCTTTTCAGTTGTCATTGATGGGAAAATGAATTCCAGAGTTTATCAAGACATTTTGCAGGAAAACGTAGGACCATCTGTCCTCCAACTGAAGCTCCGCAGAGGATGGGTGATGCAACAGGACAATGACCAAAGGCATACAAGTAATTCAACAAAACAATGGCTGGAACAGCACAGAATACGCCTTCTGGAGTGGCCCAGTCAGAGTCCTGACCTCAACCCCCGATTGAAATGCTGTGGCATGACCTTAAGAGAGCGATTCACACCAGACATCCCAAGAATATTGCTACACTGAAACAGTTTTGTGAAGAGGAGTGGTCCAAAATGACTCCAGATCATTGTGCAGGTCTGATCTGCAACTACAGGAAATGTTTGGTTGAGGTTATTGCTGCCAAAGGAGGGTCAACCAGTTATTAAGTCCAAAGGTTCACATACTTTTTCCTCCCTGCACTGTAAATGTTTACATGTTATGTGCAATTAAACCATGACATCTAATGTTTGTGTAGTATTATGTTCAGCAGACTGTGTTCTTCTATTGTTGTGACTTAGATGACGTTCAGAGCACATTTTATGCCCAATTCATGAAAAACTCCACGTAATCCCAAGGGGTTCACATACTTTTTCTTGCAACTGTATGTATATATATCATGGCTGGAAGTATTGCAATCATATACTCATAGCCTCAGTACATGTAGATGCATGCAAGGAAAAATTGCCATTTGAATTATCCAAATTCCAAAATAAAGATGGCCGCAGGGGCGGACTGACCATTTGGAAATTCGGGCACTGCCTGAGGGCCTGGTGTCAGTAGGGGGCCCCATGAGATGCCCCTGGTACCTTTTTCATAGGATTTTTTGTGTTTGGGCAAAGACACAGGGGCTCCATGATCCGCTATTGCCTTGGGGCCCCATGACTTGTCAGTCCGCCCCTGGATGGCCGCCGGGCTCAGTATGCCTGTCTGTGGCAGCATGGGGTGACGTTGGTGTGGCAGGCTGATGTTCTGATGCGTTTTGTGCTATGGCACGTTGTCAAAGGGCCCTTTGGCAATTTTTCCTTGCATGCATCTACATCTACTGAGGCTATAAGTATATGATTGCAATACTTCCAGCCATTGTATATATATATTCTTGGAATATCTTTGCCTTTATGGAATATATCAAGTTACTACACTATATGAGCTTTTTGTTCTGGTGGCTCCGTCTCAGCCTCACAAGGTGGATTCCTTTTGGATGGTGTATATACCTGATGCTGAGTGTTAGCCTCACCTGTGAGCGGTTAACCATCCTGACAAACATATTTTCCCCTTATCCCCTCCTCCCCTTCCCTCTCTGTTAATTCACAGAAACATATGTGTATTGAAAGTGTCACAGGAGGCCAGAGCCCAGCAGGGGGCTAAGTGCTATAAAATCCCCAAGGGAGCTGAGGCCTGGCTGTCTGAGCAACCTGTGCCATTTAACGCCTCGTAAAAAGATAACGCAGCCTTCCCAGGAGTTCAAAAGACATTGAACCAGATAACTTTTTAAAAGATCCATTTTTCCCCAATGTCTCATATCTTGGAATATGAGAGACTTACATAAAAACCAGACATAGCGTCAGATTGGCTAAGAGGAGCCAAACAGTTTGATAGGTCACTCGCCTTGTCTCGAATACATAGAAAAGCAGAAAAGTAGATCTTGTGAACCATTCAGTGTAGAATTTCATAATTCTTATCTAATCAATCCTCAGATGTGTCTGCATAATAATCTACCCGCGGGTGGAGTGTCACTGGTGCATAGGAAAAGTTATGAGCAAAAATATGAACTAGACAAGATTATGGCTCTAGCTTAGGTCCACGCCCAGACCTCCACGCCCTAAACGGGGTCTGGGTCCTTGACTTCAGAGACACCCCCTTCTGGGGAACTACAAATTGGGCTGTCAGGCCTAAGAGAAAAAAGGTGGAAGACGTCTCCCATTTTTAACATCAGTACCACCTGGGGAGACCAAGGTGCCCTTTTGCTCTGAAACTTGGATCTGTTAACCCAGGACTTTGGCAAGTACATTAACACTTTCACCTCTCTCTGTTATCTCTTTGCTGTTGGTCTCTGTATATATATATATATATATATATATCTCTATCTTAGCTACATCTTTTTCTGTAAATATTTTTATTGCACCCGTTTGACCTTTTAGTAATAAATTTTTCCTTCTGAAAGTGTTGAACTATTTCTATAGCTCTGTATTGCAATTTACAAATTCCTTCCTCTAAAGAGAACGCTACTGTGTTTAATCCTCTGTATAACCGTGTTATACAGACGAATACCTCAACCATTATAGTGTTATTGCGGATATCGCCGAGTTTCCTCTTTCTCTGTACAAAAAGGAGGTGGTGGCAGTGTGAAGGGTTAATTGCGTAAATTAACCTGACCCAGTAACAATCGCTCAGGCTGCCGGTACATCGATTGTGGTCCAATTAGCTGGAAAATTGTTGTGCAGGGTGCAGCTGGGTGTGGCATTGTTATGCACGTGACATCGCGGTTTTAGACTGGCTAGTCCTTCGGTCACGAGTTTAGTGAGAAGGGCTGGGGTCTGACGCCACGGTCGTCACATATTGGTGACAGCGACCGTGGGATCGTCGCATATTGGTGGCAGCGATCCCGTGTCCGTGACATCCTGTACTATGCATGCAGTCTCTGACCCTCTCCTGTACTACGTCTGCAGTCTCTGACCATAGTCCTATACTAACTACAGTAACCTCTAGCAAACAATCAGTGAGTGTGGACTAGTTCATGTTTACATAAAGTTTTTTTTAGATAAGTCTGTGTGTTTTTATTGGGATGTTGGGGTGGAGAGCAAACTTGCATGGGAGGGAGCCCAGGAAAATCTCAAACTCAGTTCAACCACACCTGCTTTAAGCCACGGACAAAATTTAGCATAATGTAAAGCAAACCCATTTTTGGTGTGCTGCGTTTTGCACACCATCTTTTTTTTCCAAGTTAGACCACACCCATGGATGAATGCCCTACCCCTAATTAACATACTGCTTCGCCTACACTGTCTTTCTGGGAAATACAGGGGGAAAAAAATGTCCCTAATTTTTTTTTTTTAAATGTTGGCAACTATGGATCTCTGCCAAGTTGCACTGACTTGCCTCTTTGAAAAAGTGCAATTTCAAGTGAAGTCAGATCTGGTGTGAACCAGGGCCAAGTGTCACCAATGGAAGATTTCTCTCTGTTTCATGGGGAGAGGGGATTAAGTAGAGGATTTGTGCTAGGAGGGGACTAGTGCTGGGATGAGGAGCTAGCAGATTTGTGCTAAGATGGAAGGACTGGGGGGGGGGGGGGGGGGGGGGGGGGGGGTGTAGATCATTTGCACAGCACTGGGTATACTAATTCCCAGAACTCTATGGGGTTTATTTACTAAAGCTGCAGAGTCCAAAATCAGACTCCCTTCTGCATAGAAACCAATCAGCTTCTAACCTCAGCTTGTTCAATGAAGCTTTGGCAATGAAACCTGGAAGCTGATTGGTTTCTATGCAGAAGGGAGTCTGATTTTGGACTCTCCAGCTTTAGTAAATAAACCCCTATATGTCAATACTCTATTACAATGTCCCTTCTGCTGGAGCATTACACCCTCTAGTACAGAGCAGAGCACCCCAGACTCCTCAAGTGCAGAGTAAACCCAGAATCCTGAAGTATAGCACAGAATACCCCAGAATCCTCTAGCACAGAAACCCAGCCCCCTCTAGCACAGAGCAGAGCACCCCCAGCCTTCTCTAGCACAGAGCAGAGCACCCCCAGCCTTCTCTAGCACAGAGCAGAGCACCCCCAGCCTTCTCTAGCACAGCGCAGAGTACCCCAGAATGCTCTAGCACAGCGCAGAGTCCCCAGAATCCTCTAGCACAGAGCAGAGTACCCCCAGCCATCTCTAGCACAGAGCAGAGTACCCCCAGCCATCTCTAGCACAGAGCAGAGTACCCCCAGCCATCTCTAGCACAGAGCAGAGTACCCCAGAATCCTTTTGTACACAGCGCACAGTACCCCAGAATCCTCTTGTACAGCGCACAGTACCCCAGAATCCTCTTGTACAGCGCACAGTACCCCCAGAATCCTCTTGTACAGCGCACAGTACCCCAGAATCCTCTTGTACAGCGCACAGTACCCCAGAATCCTCTTGTACAGCGCACAGTACCCCAGAATCCTCTTGTACAGCGCACAGTACCCCAGAATCCTCTAGCACGGTCCCCCAGAATCCTTAGTAGAGTCCCCCAGAATCCTCTAGTACAGAGCACAGTACCCCAGAATCCTTAGCACAGAGTCCCCCAGAATCCTCTTGTACAGCGCACAGTACCCCAGAATCCTCTTGTACAGCGCACAGTACCCCAGAATCCTCTAGCACAGTCCCCCAGAATCCTTAGTAGAGTCCCCCAGAATCCTCTAGTACAGAGCACAGTACCCCAGAATCCTCTAGTACAGAGCACAGTACCCCAGAATCCTCTAGTACAGAGCACAGTACCCCAGAATCCTCTAGTACAGAGCACAGTACCCCAGAATCCTCTAGTACAGAGCACAGTACCCCCAGCCTTCTCTAGCACAGAGCAGAGTACCCCCAGCAGAGAGCATTCTACTGGACAGAAGACGCTCGCAGTACCAGCCTCTCCAAACACAGCCACAACCACACTTCTGTCCCCTTGTGACCCGCCCTTGTCACGGGAAGTGACGTCAGCCCGGTATCAGGTGGTGGGAGGGACCGCGTTATTAGCATATCACTGGAGCTCTTGAGTGGTCCGAGATCTGTGAAGGTACGGCGGACAGGTGAGCACGTGATGTGAGTGGGCGGAGTCTGCAGAAGTAAACATCGTGTTGTGTGGTGGCTGATCATGTGATTCCTCGGGATCAGAGATCGTCTTGTATAATCTCCTGCATTGATCCCGGCGATCTCTCATCTGACATGGGTGCAATGCAGAATTGGGATATTTGTATGTAGGGCTTGGTGCGCAGAGGTGTATTACAGGTTCCTATGTAGGCTGGGGCTTTCTGCTAGGAGCTGGCAGCACAATCCAGTTTGACAAAATCTCAGAACTGCACATTTCTGCACATATGACGTTTAATAGAATATGCATGTAAACGTGTTATTGGCTACAATATTCATCTGTGTAATACATAGAACAAGGACCATCATCAGCATTGCATAATATTGGGAATCCAATACAACAAAACTGACACGTTTCAGCCCCTGACTGGGCCTTAGTCAAAACAGTCATGGTAAGAGGCTGAAATGTGTCAGTTTTGTTGTATTGGATTCCCCCGTTACTCTTGATGGATTCATAATAAAGATTATATGGATTTTCTGTAATACCGATGCTGGACCTTCTGCTTATCATATTATTGGATGGTGTGTGCGGCGGTGGATCAGGCGCAGGTGTTTTGCCTTAACCAGTAGCATGCATCTACAATACAGGTAGCAGCATCACATTTGCTTACCTCCCAACATCTGAACTTCAGAATGAGGGACACTTGAGGGAGGAAGTGACTTGCGGCATGTGTAATGCACAGTGGCAAACGTGTGTATGGCCAAATGCTTAACAATGGGAGGGGCCTAAGGGGCGTGGTTAAACAAAACTGGGGCTTTCTTGTACCTATAAAATATGCTTTGATTGCTGAGCCACAAGCAGGAGTTTCACGGACACAAACCCCAGCACAATCATTTTTAAAAAAAAGAAACAAAAGCTTCCATTACAAATGATTTTGCTCAAACTGTGAAAGAGTGCGTTATAAAAAGTGACCTATTGACTCTTCAGACATTTGGCGACTTCTGCGCACTTCAACATGCGCTGACCCCGCTCTGCCATTTTACGTGGCCTACCACTTCGTGGCTGAGTTGCTGTTGTTCCCAGTTGCTTCCACTTTGTTATACTACCACTAACAGTTGACGGTGGAATATTTAGTAGCCAGGAAATTTCACAGATGGAC